CAAAATTGCCTAACTAATTCTTAAAATTCCTTTAAGTTTGTTAATATTTTCTCTCTATAAAATTTCAACAATAATTACAGCAGTTGCAGCTCCTGTAAATTTTCTAATTTTCAATATTTTAATCCATATTTTAAATTCCATTTCCAATCAGATTTTCATAATAATAAACAAATAAATATTCATTTGTCAAAAATATTTCTTTTGGGTTTATGTCCCCAAATCATAATAATCCGTTTTCAAAGTTTATGTACCGAACTACTCTGTTCGGCTATTGAACTCAGTACAGTTTTAGTTGAACCCGGTTCAATCATTGGTTCCATAATCTTTGATATGTGCTCTGCGCTATCCTTGCTTTCTATTTTTTGACTTTTGAAGTGTCATTAATTTTTGGTCAACTGGCTTTCGATTAGTAATGTTTTCGGGATCGTCGATTCCTGTTAAGTCCTACCTATTAGTTTTGCAACACGGGTCACTTACTCCATATCGTACTCTTCAAATTATAATTGTTCTATTGGATAATTCATGGTTGTTATTATCATTATTCGTCAACTGTTGCAATTTTTCTTTGATTATGTTGTGTGCAATTTTTGGTGCGTGGAGATACTATCGAATCGATAGTATGGATTGATTGACATGTCATTACTCTGCTACAGGTCTGTCCTTCAAAATCTAAGACAGCTGATTGATTGGTTACTTGTGGAAATCTGATGTGAAAATCTTTCTTTCATGTTCTGGCTGTTTTGAAGAAAGGGTCTTTTGAAGAATTTAATTTTTTCTTCGTCCTAAAAAGGGATTTTGGACCTAATTTTCTTCTTAATTGAATTTATGGCACACTGAGTTTTCTTGCGTTGTGTTTAATTTTCGTAAAGTGCTATAATTTTCGCCGATGTTATCGGAAAACAACCATTTCGGTAAGTTTGCTGGGCACGTTTTTTCCCACAAGTAGATTCTGACTATTTCCATTTAATCATTAGTGAAAAGCTGCCCTAAAGAGCAGAGTAACATCTCACTCACTCAAGGATATCGAATCCAGACTTCCAGAGTATTTTCGAGGCAAACAAAACCCTATTTCCAACAGGTAATAACCTCAAATTTTCTATGCAAACTCGAGGTACATTTTCTTTACCTAAAATGTAGTGAGGTGCTCTCACTTTTGTTGGTGTCTTCGCTTTTTTACATCCCCTGACTTCCGGTGGAAGTAGGCGATGGTGAGCCCTGACTTATTTTTGGTTTGGGTACCCTTACTTGTTCTGGATTTTTCAAGTTTGTAGAATTTGTGCACACATAAAAAATATCTTTGGACGATTTGGGCCTAGGAGGTCGAAAATTGTATGGGGCGAAATTGCAGAGAAAATCCAGGTAGCAGCGCTATCTAGCCCTCTTAAGACGTTTGTTTTGCGCGAAAAACAGAGGAAAATCGAAGCAGGGTTGTTCTTATTAGGTGTTGTTAGGGGAAGTTGCGTGGTTCTCCGCTCATTGCCAAACTTCTCAATCCTCCAATAGACCCACACAATTATGGCATCGGTTCTAGCTCGACTAAGCTCCTTATTACTATGTTGCTTTCGTCCATGTGTGTTGAAACTTGATGTATGCGATGCCTGCATTGCTTATTAGGCCAAGGCACTTAGCGAAATAACAGCCATATTTTAACATAAAATTTAACAGCAAACTATCGATGCAATATTGTTAAGGATCATTGATAGATGCTAAGAACCAAAAATGCAACATCTAATTACTTTTAGGGGATTTTATAAACAATATTTAGCGCAAAAACAGGGCTTGTTTTTGTTTATTTCACTGTATTTCGAAAACTAATGATCGGATGGTTTTGCTACTGTAGCAATAGTTTTAGAGCATTGAACAAGCTTTAAAATGAGCCATCATACAACCCTGTAGGTCTTTTAGTCTTCGAGAAATGATTTTTTTCCCGCAAAAAAAGAGATTTTCGTAAAAAATTCCTAACTTTTTTAATTTTCATGCTAGACAATTAATTTTTTACACATACATAGTAGATGAGGCAGGCTTTATTGAGTCCAAATTTGGGCCCAGTCCGATGGGTTGTTTCGGCATAATACCCTTGTCAAGCAAAATGGGGATGTTTCTAAAACAGTCTGTCGAATTGAGGATAATTTTTTTATATTTATTTTGATTATACAACTCACTCTACATTATGCCCATATGACACGAGAGGCTTAATAAGTGATAAGCCTTTTGAGATTATCGCGCTTGGTGGCATTTATGACAAATTCTATTATAGAATTTTTTTTTAAATTTTAAAGTAAAGTTTAGTTCGTTGTATAACCTTTTAAATACCACTCGATGTTTCAGGATTACCTAATACTTTTACCTGACACTCAACGCGTTACCAGCAACACCACTCCTCCTTCGGAGTCGTGGTGTTGCTGCGTAACGCGTTTCGTGATAGGTAAAAGTATTATTCGGTAATCCTGAAACCTCTTGGGTCCAAAAGTCCACTGATAAGTCGAAATGCCAAACTATCGATCCTCTATCTCAGATTTTCCACTTAATTTTTTTATCGCAAGTAAAACGGCTTCGAACACGACTGAAAATGGAAAAAATTGACGGTAATCAAACGGAGTGACAGCGAGCTCTCCCCGACCACGCAAATTACATTTTTTTTCCATTTTCAGTGATGTTTGGAAAATCTGAGATAGAGGATCGATAGTTTGGCATTTCGACTTATCAGTGGACTTTTCAAAATAAATATTAAAAAATTATCCTCAATTCGACAGACTGCTTTAGAAACATCCCCATTTTGCCTGACATGGGTATTATGCCGAAACGACCCATCGAACCGGGCCCAAATTTGGGCTCAATGAAGCCTGCCTCATCTACTATGGATGTGTAAAAAATTAATTGTCTAGCATGAAAATTAAAAAAGTTAGGATTTTTTTACGAAAATCTCTTTTTTGGGGGGAAAAGAATCATTAGTAATTAGATGTTGCATTTTTGGTTTTTAGCATCTATAAATGATCCTTAACAATACGGCATCGATAGTTTGCTGTTAAATTTTATGTTACGAAAAAATTTATCTGCCCTGGCCTATATGCTAAATTAACCTTGACATTATACCTATCTTCTAACCTACTTAAAATTGAGTCCAGTAATTTATGAGCATTCTCGAAATCAGTCCAAGAGACCAAAATATCATTAAGGTAAAAATGGACTCCTTGAAGAATTTGATTAATTACTGAAACAAAACTGGAGCTGAAGCCACCCCATAAGGTAAACGCGTATACCTAAACATACCCATATGTGTATTTATACTAAGATATTTCTGAAAATCGGGATGAATCCTAAGTTGTTGGTGTCAGATCAAGTACACAGAATACAGACTTCCCTACCAAACTTGCAAGTTTCAGAATATTTGAATTGGATTGTTCATGAGGTTGAGGAAGCAACCAATACATTATCTACTTCTGAAGCAGCAATTTTGGAAAAAATTGCTTCAAGAACCGATACTGGAAGCCTCAGAAAAAAAATTGACATTGCAAATAACACATTACCTACTCCGCTCAGCGCTTGACACTTAGGCTCCAAAAACTATCTCCAGAATCATCCAGAAGAATAATAATTATCTGATACGTAAGAGAACTGCCTCAGAATCTTTGAAGTCTTCTTTTACTGTATTTGAATCCTTGAATGCAAATTTCAGGATCAGAACGAGTATCATGGCTCGGAAAGAAACGTACGTGTATTTGCTTTACAAAAGAAATTATTAAGATGACAATCGTATCCACTAGAATATGGACAAAAATTAGAATTTATTGGATAGAAAAATGTTTCATGGGTGAAAGACATGATCGGGTTTTATTGAAACGTTCTATTTCATGTGTACGATATTTGTTGTGGCAACATTTGCTTGAAATTATTGAAATGGCAATGTGAAAAATGTTAAACACCAGTTGAAGGTAAATTAACGAGTTCAAATACAAGGAAAACTGTCTGTGACAAGTATTACATTCAAAATCATAATTAGATATTTTGATATGTTTAGAGACATAATATACGTCTAAATGATTTTTGAACTCATGCAAGCTATTAAAATAAACAGAATTTATTCATAAATCATCTATTTGTAGTTAGAATTCAACAGTAGAAAAATTCTTATTAGCAACGGTTTCCAATGCAAATTTTGCTCCATTTCATCTCTCAAATACCACCAAACTGCAGAGCAGCGTGGGTAGCAAATTGAAAGCAATTTGAAATAATATAAACGTTTCAAAGGTAAGGAATTATACTTCCATTTACATATTTCTTTTTCAAATTTAATTAATACTTTGTGGTTCACAGCCCTATTCAATATACATTGATTAAATTATAAGTAGTTCTTGAAATCAAAGAATGAATAAATCCACTACCAAATTCAGATATTCACTTGTTGCATAATTAACTTAGATAAAAATACTAGAATATTATTCCTGATGGCCACTGCAAAGTAAATATTACCCACGACATAAAACTACCATAAACCCCCTTGTGACATTAATATTCCAAAATGCAAAATGAATAGACACTAGTGGATTTAACAATTCCTAGATTCGTTCGCATTTAATCCGCATAAAATCCTTTTTTATTAACTAAAGCTCGCCTGCTTAATGCGAGATGCTCTCTTTTTTTTTTTAAAGAAAAACGCTCGAAACCGCTTAGCCACAATTATAATGGGAATTCTGCTTGAAACGGAACGAGCTGAATTGATTCCGTTTTACAATTTTGCCGGGAAACTCTACAGGAGGAAAACAATTCAAAACGAATGGACAATTTTCTGGTATTTATCTCCGTTTTTTGTTTGAAAAAATACGGTTTTAATATTAGGACAATTAAAATATGAAATAGGAATCGTAAGAAGAAAATACCTAATTGAAATTTAATGCTCTGAGACATGAAAATATTTTAGTAATAATTATTTTTTGATGACGGTAATCAAAATCAAGAATTATTTCCTATAAAACTTTCTACATTTTGCTTTTTGTTTGCAGGAGCTTCGTACCCTAGAATGCCGATACTGCGGCCTGGAAAGGATCAACACCCAAATCTATCATCTCTTGCCTTACCTCACCCACTTGGATCTTGGCTACAACGCCCTTCAATACCTCTACTATGACGAGTTCCAAGATCTACATCGACTCCACACCTTGAAGCTGGACGGCAACCTGTTTCCAGTCATCCTAGAAAACACTTTCGTGAATCAGCAACAGCTGCGCTATTTGTGTTTAGCTCGGAACCGAATAGCCAAGATTCCCGACACTGCTCTAAAAAATTTAACCAATTTAGTGGAGCTAGATTTGGGCTATAATAAGTTATATAAAGTGGAAAGTGTGGCTTTTACGCACGTAGCTAACAGCCTACAAAAATTGATAATAAGTGGGAATAATTTTAAGTTGAACGTAATTAAAACTATAATCGAAACTGTGTTAAATGTATGGGATTTAAGTGTTGCCAATATGAAACTAGAAACAATTCCTCGTAATTTTTTTCCAGACAACATTAAAAGTTTGAATTTGTCTTGGAACAATTTAACAGACATTTCTCAAGAAATGTTCCCTCGACAACTAGAAATTTTAGATTTAAACAACAACAAACTCAAAGGCCTAAACGACAGCGCTGTGCTTTATCTAGAAACATTAAAAACTGTAAATATCGAAAACAATCCTTGGACTTGTGAATTGTGTCATATAACCGACATGTTTTTCCGTGTCAACAAAAGTACTTTATTCAAAAATGCAACTTGTGCCTTCCCTAGTGTTCTAAACGCGAAAAAACTACTTAAACTAAGCTTAGACGAAATACCTCCGTGCGGAGATCAAGAATTCACCGAGGAAGATTTCGAAGCTACCAGCAAACGAGGCCTATTCATCGGCCTAATTTGTATAGTGACTTTCGGTCTGTCTTCGATAGTATTCGTTGTAATTTCTTGCGTGAAACGTCACAACGATAACGCGGCTCAAAGGGCCAAAAGGACTGCGGAAAGTCTTCAGGAGAATTCCCTGGAAAATTCGGTTACCGTTTTTAGTAAGAGTCAAATTAGTTTTCAGTTTCCTTTGGATTTGATGGAAAGGAAACTTTCGGTGTCGACCATAGACGAAATTAAACGAGACGAGCGACCGGAAATTAAACGGGACGAGAGCCAAGGGATGTCTAATGGGTCAGTGGTCACTGGTCTTTGAGTATTTTTGGTTTATGGAATTTGTGGTTAAATTATTTCTTATTGAGTTTATTAACAATTTTATAAGATGCTTTTTTTCCTCTATGTATATATTTTTAATTTCAGTTGAAAATAATATCGAATAAATAATTTTAAACATATCTTAGATAAGACGTGATACTATTAAAAATAATTGCTGTATAAAATTGGGTATCCTCTCTGCGTCTCCTATTTGTAAGATTTCACAAATTTATTACGTTAATAAAAAGATTGTATAATTTTTTAAAAGTTAGTTATTTTATTTTGACAATAGAGAATCAAGTCTAAAAGACTGAAGATTCTACTCCTTTTTCAATAATTGTAATCCAAGGTTGATTCCAGACAAGGTAAGATTGTACTATTTCAGAACAGAAACTTGTAAATCAGAGAAGAGAAGTTGAATTTGAGAATCGTAAATCCTAGTACCAAAATTAGAAGGAATTGTTCCACTGTCGGGCTCAGTGCACTAAAGGCGTTCAGTGGTGGTGGTGCAGGTATTGCAAAAGCAGTTAAAATGACGAAATTTCAATTTTTTTATGTTGAAATTTTGCGTTTATGTGATTAGTTGGGACCCCCTAAACTTCATACACTAAATTATTTTGAGATTTGAAGCCGAAATCTATGAAAACAGGCACTGAGAAAAATTGATAAATCACCCGAAATTGCTTAACACGATGTTATCTCAAAAACTATAAGTCCAAATGAGTTGAAATTTTCAGGGATTGTAGTCCTCTAGTGGAATAAGAATCGCTGAAAATGTCAGCTTTCTATCTTAAATAGAAAAAAAGTTATGACCCTCCAAAGTTTTCCAAAATCCAAATCATAATTACAAACAATTATTAAAGCTACAAGGATTGGAAGCAAAAACAAAAATGGGTATAGATCTTTTAAAGTGACACTTTCCACTCAGCACGAAGTACTCTCCCTATTAAATAATCGAACAAAGCTAAAGGGTAAAAAAGTCTATATCAACTCCGACTTGACCCCCCAGCACCGTGCCCAAGAAAAGGATGTTCGTGCACAGCTAGCGAATCGATTATCTCAAGGGGAAACAAATTTAATTGTGAGATATCGTCATGGCATTCCTTCTATTGTATCAAAAAACCAGCAAAGGGTCTAATTTCACACAATGAGCAACTCTCGATCCACTTCCAAAATTTAAGAGGCCTCCGCACTAAGCTAAATTATCTTTTGCATTCTCTCCCAGGGTGCCACTATAAAGTCATCGTATTTGTTGAGACCTGGCTTAATGAATCATTTAATGATGCTGAATTGTTTATGCAGGATTACTGGATCTACAGAAGGGATCGATCTCTCCAAACCAGCATTTATAATAGAGGCGGGGGGTTCTAATTGGGGTCCACAAATCCATCAAAAGTAGGCAGCTATCTGTACAAGATAACATAGAAGATATTTTTGTCCTTATCGAAGCGGGCAAGAAATCCTTTATTTTAGCTAGTGCTTATTTTCCCCCTCGCTCACCTTTCGCTGCTTATGTTTCGTTCAGTGAGAATATTGACAAGCTACCTGAGGAGCACCCTTATGCAACAATTGGAATTCCTGGTGACTTTAACCTGCCTCATGCATTATGGGAAAACAATGCTCTAGGCTCAGTTGTCAGATCTGTGCCTCCTGCACCCCCTAACGAAGCGGATTCCTTGGAGGTTGTTTCCAACATGTGTGCCTTCCATAATTTATTTCAACTCAACATGGTCCAAAACATTTCCATGTCAACACTGAACCTGATGCATTTTCAAGGCGAAACCTACGTGGTCCGTGAAGCTGATGATTGTATTGTGCCACTGGATGATTATCACCCACCCTTGAACATTGAAGTGTGTTTTAATTCTGACAATATAAATGAATCTCGTTTTTGCGACGGTTACTTTAGAGATTTCAAGTCGGCGAGTTTAAATTTGCGTGCTAGTCTGGACGATATGGTAAATATCTTCTATAATGCTATTTATTCGGCAATTGAACTTTTTGTTCCCCTGAGAGAACTTGCTCAGGTAGATTCCCCAGATAGTTTTCACAAGACCTTAAACATTATATAATAGAAAAAAAGAAAGCTCACAAACGGTACAAAATATCGGGTCCTCAACGCGATTATCGCAAGTTTGCTGACTTGCGCTTAGTTTGCAAAAGATTGCTGACTGAATCCAATCAAGCTTTTATCACTTTCACAGAAAATTCCCTAATAACCAATCCCAAACTATTTTGGAACTATGTCAACTCTAAAAGAGACAACCGCGATACTCCCAGTGAGCTTCATTACAATGGAAACTCCAGCGATTCTGGATTGGAAATTGCCAATATGTTTGCCGAATATTTCTCTCAAGTTTATAGTACTAAGTCCTGCCCCAATCACCAGCGTCCTTACTTTGAGTATAATAACAATAACACATACGTCACTAACTATTCTATTCTAATTTCTGATATATACTCGCATTTAAATACACTAGACACAAAGAAGGGACCTGGACCAGACGGTATACCGCCATCACTGCTCAAGCATTGCAGCTTTGTCTTAGCCCGTCCACTATATTATATTTTCAACTTGTCTCTTTCAAAGGGAATTTTTCCCGAATTCTGGAAACTAAGCTACTTAACACCAATTCACAAATCAGGAAAAAAGGATCTGATAACGAACTATCGACCAATTAGTATTTTGAGTGCCATCCCCAAAATATTTGAACACATAGTAACTAAATACTTAACCCCCATACTGAGTCCTCATGTTACTTCAAGACAGTTTGGCTTTCAAGCCGCAAAGAATACCGAACTTAATCTGCTGGCGTATGTAGATTTTTTTTTTTTTTTTTTTACGGATATGCGCATTCGCAAGGAAATGTCCTATCACGCTCGACGAGCGGCAAGTGCGCGGAAATGTCGGTGTATGTTGGTCTTGAAACGGTTCAGGTTGTAACCTGCAGGGAAAACCGTCGCAGGGAAGTTTATTCCACAGCGATGCTGTTCTCCAGAGATATGAAATCTGATATAATGAGGTTCTTGGTGCCTCTAGTTTGACAGTAAATTCATGGTTACCGTCTGTTTGACGGGTTCGCCTGGTAAGCGCTACTCTCGGTGGAATCATACGTGCCAACTCTTCAGAGCATTTTCCGTGATAGTACCTGTAGAAGAGAGATAAATCGCCCACATATCTGCGATGTTCGAGACCATCCAAGTTACGAGTAAGTGCGGGGTCATTGATCAGCTTGATAGCTCGTTTTTGCACGGTGTTCAAAAGCATTAAGGTATGTTTGGGTGCTGCACTCCATATATGTGAGCAGTACTCCATAGTTGGTCGAATCTGGGCTTTGTAGAGTGTCAGCAATTGGCTTGGTGTGTACAGATGTCTTGTACGAAATAGCACCCCCAGCTTTTGGGACACCCTTTTAGCAATATCTGCCACGTGACTGTGCCAAGACATGTTGGTCTCTGCAGTAACCCTCAAGATGTTCAACTGACTCTGTAATGTGACAGCACTTCCAGATAGCATGATGTTTTGCTCACCGGTGCTGGTCTTTTTTGAAAACAGAGCTGCTTGGGTTTTCTGCGCGTTGAACTGTACAAGGTTTTTGTTACCCCAGTCCTCTATTATCTCCAGGTCGTTATTTATCTGCGATATTTGAGTTAGTCTAAGATGATGGAATTCACGTGGGGAAAGACCTGTGGGTGGTATGAGTGAGAAGACTACATTGCCATCGTCTGCAAAGCAATAAAGTGGATTTACTGTTTTATCTATGAGGTCATTTATGTAAATCAGAAAAAGAGTTGGCGAAAGGATTGCTCCCTGTGGCACACCAGCATTTATTTGGTAAGAGTTGGAGTTCTGGCCATCCAGTGCAACATAAATGGATCTGTCCTTTAGGTAACTTTCAAACCAAGTGCAAAGTTTCTGCGATAATCCCATTGCTTTGAGCTTGTTGAGCAGATTTTCATGCCAAACTTTGTCGAATGCTTTAGATATATCTAAGGCAATTGTTCTTGTTTCACCCCGCAACTCAATCGCTTTTTGCCATAAGTGAGTGACGTATGTAAGTAAATCGCCAGTTGACCTATATTTTCGAAATCCGTATTGCTTATCGTTGATAATTTTGTACTTTTCCAAGTACTTGGTTAGGTGATTGTTCACAACTCTTTCCATTACTTTTGATATCACCGGAAGTAGAGCAATTGGTCTATAGTTTAACGGATCTGTCTTTTTTCCTTTCTTTGGAATGGGTTGTACTGCGGCAGACTTCCATGATGATGGATATACTCCTTGCCTGTAAGACAAATTGAATAATTTTGCGAAAGTTGGGGTGAGTTCGTTGGCGCAATTTTTGAGTACTATTGCGGGAATGCCATCCGGACCCATTGCTTTGTTTGTATCTAGCTTTTTAAGGGATTTTCGTATTTCTCTGTGACAAAAGGGTACCTCTGGCATACTATGGGAAACCCTTTCAATGAACGGTGGAGTTTTTCCGTTTGGCACTGTTAGGTTGGAGTTGGAGGAAAACATTTGGGCCAGCATATTGGTTTTTTCCTCTGATGCTGTGGCTAAGTGATTATTTTTATCTGTAAGTGGTGGTATGGATGACTTGGTGAAGTTAGATCCAACAGCTTTTGCAAGAGACCAAAAGGACCTAGAACTACTTGGACAATTCAGCAACCTGTTTTTTATTCTTTGATTGTATGTTTCTTTAGCGGAGTCAATAGTAATTTTGCAACTATTTCTGGCTTCTATAAATTCTGTGTGGTTTTGAGCGGTTTGTGTGGTTTTGAGCGGTTTGTATCCAGTGCCTTGGAGAGAGGCTCTCAGGTGCACTCAATCTACACGGATTTCTCCAAGGCGTTCGATAGGGTTAACCACGCCGTCCTTCTGTCTAAGCTGGAGCTTGTGGGTGTTGGAGGTTCGTTGCTGCGCTGGTTGAAGAGTTATTTAACAGGACGATCTCAAATAGTCCGATTCAACAATTTTCAATCCAAAAACATACAAGTACCATCTGGAGTCCCCCAGGGCTGGAACTCTGTAACGGATAGCGATCAATATCTCTATCTCTAGTGGCGTCCCCTCTCTATTGATTTCGATAAGAGAGAAGAAGACAGCAACTGCCATAGCGATAGGGATAAGGGATAACGATCTCTATCTGTTACAGAGTTCCAGCCCAGGGGTCACATCTTGGCCCTCTTCTCTTCAACATTTTTATCAATGATCTAATATTGCACTTCA